CTCCTCCAGTCCAGATTTGAATCCGTTAGATTACAAGATATGGCAACACTTGGAGGAAAAGGCGTGCTCAAAGCCTCATCCCAATTTGGAGTCACTCAAGACATCCTTGATTAAGGCAGCCGCCGATATTGACATGGACCTCGTTCGTGCTGCGATAGACGACTGGCCGCGCAGATTGAAGGCCTGTATTCAAAATCACGGAGGTCATTTTGAATAAACTTTAGTGTCATAAGAATCTATGTTTTGTTAAGTTCATTTTGGTATATGAATGGTTACATAATGAATAAACTTGTTTCAATTATTTTACATTAAACATGTGACAGAATTTATGACCTGACTAGGTATATTTAATATACATCCATAACCCTGGAAAAGACATTTATATTTATCATACAAATATCTCCCCTTGGCGGGATTCGAACCCGCGACCCCCTTGTGTAGTGACCATGTTACTTACCACTACACCAGACGGCCGTTAAATGGATGGATGGTCGTTGGAGCTTCTGCGCTCACCTTGAGAAATTGGGTCCTCGGCTGATGGCAACGGCCGGCTCTTTGAGCCGGCTTCTTCCTAACGTCGAGGGTCCCGATGTGGTGACACGCTGCCTATACATGAGGGTGGTGCGGTCGATGGCACTATACGGTGCTCTGGTATGGTGCCAGGCCCTTACCCGCAAGAACATCGTCGCGCTGCGACGTCCGCAGCGTGCGATCGCGGTCAGGGCCATCCGAGGATACCGCACCGTCTCCTACGAGGCGGCGTGCTTGCTCGCCGGGGCGCCACCCTGGGACCTGGAGGCGGAGGCGCTCGCTGCCGATTACAGGTGGCGTAGCGACCTTCACTCTTGGGGAGAAGGGCGCCCTGGCGAAGGGGTGATTAGAGCGCGGAGGCTCCAACCTTGGCGGTCCGTGCTGGAGGCGTGGTCTCGTCGTTTAGTGGACCCGTCGGGCGGGCTCCGTACCGTTGAGGCGGTCTGCCCGGTTCTCGCGGACTGGGTGGGCCGCGACCGTGGATGTCTCACCTTCCGGCTTACCCAAATGTTGACCGGCCATGGGTGCTTTGGCCGGTACCTATTTAAGATAGCCGAAAGGGAACCAACGGCGCAGTGCCACCATTGCGCAGAACGCGAGTTTAATTTTAGATACAACAAATGTAGCATGTCACTTTATCCTGTTCTCATAATATAAGAGGTATGTATCGATAAAAATATTAAGTCAATCTGGAGAACCCAATGATAACAGTTCGTGACCTCGTATAAAGCATTTCTTAGGTATATAAAGGCGAAATGATTCAGATTGTATTTAGTATTTTTCTTAAAGTTGTGCGAATAACCAACTGTGAGTATGATCCCTTCAAAATTCCTTTTAAGTATTATAATCTATGTAATTTAATTATTAATAGCTGTAGTGTAGTATTCGGTTTCCGCATTTTTTTATTTCGCATTGGTAATTTTTCATTGCCCTTCTTAAAGTAATCAGATTTTCAGGAGCCAACCAACTCTTTAAAATCACTTTACATTGTATTTTCCCCCTGGCATTGTCTACAATTAAAAAAAAATAGAAATCTGTCTCTTGTCTTGTAGTTTAGAGACTGTTTGCTGGGCTGTATAACGACGAACATTTTCGTGTAGGGATAGCGGGGACGAACGAATTACCAAGGCTGGCTGTAGTTTCGCGAGTTTCTCGTTGTGACTAGGTACTTACAGTGCACATCCGCAGTAATGCGGGTGCTACTTAGTAAGAAGCTGTCATGAATAACCAAACCAAACAGTAACCATGACGGTTTTAGGCATATATTTTAATTTAATTTTTAATTTAGGTATATTTTAATTTGTCTAGCTGTGACAGGGTCTAACCGAACCTAGCAAGTGACAATGCGGTTCAAATTCCTTTCGTTTCTCTATCTTTGAAGCAACGCAAGGCATACCTTACGTTACGCTGGCGATCATTCAGCTCGTACGGAATCCACTTTTTTTTTTACCTTGTCAATTTGACGCAAGTGGACTAATATAATTTTGATACTAACGTTAAATGCTACTGATAAAATAGCGGTAGGTTCAGTATCATCAGCTTCCACTATCGCCTTTATTTCATCATTGTAGACTTTAGTTTTCGGACGATCACAGGATTAATTTTTTAGATCGAAATTTTGTTAGTATTGTTCACTTTGTACACGTCATTATAACTATGAACAGTATGTGCAAGCAATGCTACCGCGACGGAACTCGGGTTCCATAATTACTTGTATTTTATTTTGTTTGTATTGATGAATAAGCAAATGAATAAATTTGAAAATAGAAATTCTATACTTTTAATATTTATTTGAATTTAGTATATATTGTCGTGCCTAAATAAATCACATTTCACGTCAAAAACGCGATATTGAAAAATCAAACCAATGCCCACAGCCGAGGACTTCTTTCGAATCTCGTTTAAGCCGCATCACTGCTTAACTACAGTAATAGGCAAGATGGTAATTACTAGTGGGGACTTAATACATAGATGTAATTCGTGAACATGAGTTGCGTATATATTTCATTAGAAAAATATTGGTACCTCTCTCTGAAATTTGAAAACCGGCACAGTTTTGTGGCCCAGTATGAACGCACCGAACGTGTTATCCTTTAGGCCACGATAACTTCATAATTATTCGTAATTAAAGATTAATTTACATTCTTGTAAATCACACTATATTACTGTATCTTGTATATAATATATCGTTAACCATCGTCAAAGCAATCGACAAATGACGCTAAGCCTTCGGGCGGAATAACAACTTTCAAAACTCTGCCCGTTACACATAAAATAAATGTTTTACCAATCTAACTCAGTGTTTACGATATTATAAAATACAATACCAGTAAAAGTTCTATAATTTTAGATATATTTTTTTTGTTTACAGATGAATCTGATAATATTGATAACTATAATTGCTTTAGTTCACGGGAACCAAGAATTGGAAGTACTAAAAGATAATGTGCACAATGCATCCCAACTCGTAGTCGACTACCAAACCAACACACTGTTTTTCAGTCACTCTTCTTTGTTCGAAGGGAAAACAGTTCTTAAATCCGCTTACTTGAACCTTAACACTAAAGAGTTCGGAGAAATATCCGGCATCAATTCGGGCGTAGCTACTGCATATGATAGAAGAAAAAACGTTGTGTACCTTGGTGGACAGGATGGGATATATAAATTTAATCACGCAACGAAATCTGCAAAGAATTTGCGTATCACAAATTACAGCATAAGGCAAATGTTTCATAGTCCCACCCACGGTCTTTTCTTCACGACTTTCAATCCTGAAGAAAAAGCGTTTGTCTACTCCTACGGTCAAGTAGGAGATATTGTACCTGAACTGACCGACATCAAAACAAGTTTAATTGCAGTCAGCAAAAAATACAATATATATTTTGCTAATTCCGCTGGCATCTTTGTGCTGACAAATATCAATGGAGTCTTGTTCAAAGTACATTTACATGTTATTCCTGTTAATGGATTCGCAAGTGATTTTGACGATAGATTATACTTTTCAACTCCGAATGCTATTTTTTTCATCAATGAAAATGGCGGAATATTGGAAGAAGTCTTCAGGGTGGAAGAAAGTGAAACTATTTTGGGACTAGCTTTTACCGCAGACGGTAATATGATCTACGCTTTAGATGACAAAATAATGATGAAAAAAAAATAATAAAATTCAAAAGTATATATTTTATAGTTCTAATAATTAGTTTTAGAAATAAACAGTTTTGCAAATAAATAAATATATTTCTTTCATGAGCACTGTTTTTATTATGTATAAATAAAATATAATAAAATGAAAAAAGGTAACGAACAAATAAAACTACCTGTAAGTTAAAGATTTTTTTGTATTAAATTGTACCTTTGAATGTCTAGTCTTTAAACTACATATATAATTATATTATTAACGTCAGCCGTTTTCGAATAATCTTGAGTAAGCCGCGGAAAGAATAAAATCGTTTTTTTGGTAAAAACTTACTTAGCTGCCTGCGTTGAACGATCTTTAAGAGAAAACTTATCAGTTCGCATCACCAATGACCTCGATATCCGCGTGGCAAGTTGCGCTTGGCACTAACCAGCGACGCCTATTATTAATAGCAACATGTGTACTACTGTCAATAAAGTACCGAGAAAAGATCTATTATACTCAATAGTGTTATATTAGTTATTCATCCAAATGGACAAATTTAAAAAGTAAATTAAACATTTTTTTTAGCTATTAAGCCCAATAAATACATAGATTGCTTAGTCACCACGTTCCTTTATAATTCGAAAAAACTGCAAACATTTGTACTTTCGTTTATATGACGTATTTAGGTTTTATTTGTTTTTTTGGATTAACTTCTTTGTTTATCGTGACTACTCGTGAATATATTTTGGAAACATTCTAACTCATAATCAAGTCCACACTAGAATCAGACAAGTACACAGTACGTTCATATTACGTGGACTTACTTTATGCTTAGTAAAATAAAATATATGCACATCAATCAAGATGTCGGCTACTAGCGCTATCAAACCAGAGCTTCAGTATTTATGAACATTGACTCTTGACTTCTAATGATAACCTTTTAAATGGGTATTAACCAACACTTAGGGAAAAGTATGCTTATAAATTATGAGTGTCAATATTGTATATTAATTAAGATTGTAAATGTGAAAGCGTCATTGTTTGTTTGTTCCTCTTTCACGTCAAAACGAAGCACGGGTCTATCCGTTTTTTTTTTTTTAAATACTTTGCTTAGCGTTTGTGAAGTACAAGAAAACGTTTGATTTCAGTTTCTCCAATGGTCCCAATAGATTACCGTTACATCGAAGTGTTGAAGTGTTTGTATAAAAAGGCTACGAAGTCAGTCCGATTAACAGATGGATTACAGAACCGGACTTCGGAACTCATCCTTCTGCAGAGTAGCGTGAGGCTAAGAATTGTTTTTTTTTTTATTGCCTTTGCAGACAGATGAGCATACGGCCCACCTGATGGTCAGTGGTTACCGTCGCACATGGACTTCAGCAATGCCAGGGGTAGAACCAAGCCGCTGCCTACCGCTAACCTACCGTTATTTCCCCGAAAGGGCTTACCGCTGGTTTGGAGACGTTTTTAAGGTTCTGGAATGGAAAGGACAAGGCTTCAACATCAGCGGCGAGTACATACCTCACTTTCGACTTGCTGACGTTATTGTGGTTATAGCTTTAACCTTGTCGGACCTCAGTACAATGGCTCAATAGTCTAGAGCTTCTAACCGAGTGAGCGTGAATATGAACATGGAAAAACGAAAATTACGATGAATGTCCATGTAGCGCCCACTCCGGTAAATATCGGAAGATCTATGCTCGAAGTTATTAACGAGTATATTTACCTGAGACCTACGGTCCAGCCAGGTAGGTCTAACTTTGAAAAAGGGGTCGATCACCGAACCAAGTTGGATGGGCAGCGTTCGGAAGACTACCTACGTAGAATTTTCTCCTCACAAATTCTCAAGTTAACCACAGTTTCTCAAGATAAGAGGTGACAAGACAGGGTGGTGGTATCTACCCGTGCAGACTCACAAGACGTCTTACCACCGATAAAATATTTCGTTTAAAGTATTGTTTTAAATGAGATACATATCTAAATCATTAAAAATAAAAATATTTTATTTGCTGAATATTTTAAATGAATTGAGATGCGTCTCGCGAAATGTAAAGTTTAATTAAATTTTATGTACAACAAATGGACCGTGTCACCTTATCTTGTTTTCATTATATAAAAATAATATCATAAGTCAAAAGAAGAGAATCCAATGATAACAGTTATCGACCTCGTACAGAGCATTACTTAGGTACAAGTATATAAAGAAGCAATTATTCAGATTGTGTTTAGTGCTTTTCTTAACGTTGTGAGAATAACAAACAGTGAGTATGATTCCTTCAAAACTCTTTTTAAGTAATATATATGTAATTTAATTAACAGCTGTAGTCTTCGAATACAAATCGGATACATAATTAAAACTACTGGTGGTAGGACCTGTTGTGAGTCCGCACGGGTAGGTACCACCGCCCCGCCTATTTCTGCCGTGAAGCAGTAATGCGTTTCGGTTTGAAGGGTGGGGCAGCCGTTATAACTATAGAATAATATATAACCTTAGAACTTATATCTCAAGGTGTGTGGCGCATTTACGTTGTAGATGTCTATGGGTTCCAGTAACCACTTAACACCAGGTGGGCTGTGAGCTCGTCCACACATCTAGGCAATAAAAAAAAACTACTTTTTCTCCTACCTACGCCGAAAGTTTGGTTTTCGTCCCGCTGCACAGGGAAGAAAGTCTAACTTTTTCTCCCTGGGCACTGACAAGTGCGCATGCGCGTTAGTGTCTACGTCTGCTCCCACGCACCTAAAATTCTCCGCCATTGTTGTGCTCGGGTAATTTGCAATATTGTGTTTAGTGTACAAGTGAAATAAACAAAAGGCAATATAATCTAATAATGAAGTATTAAACAAAGATGGGTTCATCAGACAGTTCTTATACAATTAGTAATAGTTTATTTAAAAATAAAAAAAAAGGTATTTTTTTTATAAGTCCTCGTATGACCATTGTCGTAAAACGGCAACTTCATATGTACGTAAAGACATTACCAGAGCCTATAGACATCCAAAAAGGTAAATTCCCCCACCCACGTTGAGACATGAGTTGTAAGTTTTAATTTTTACAGTACCACTACTACCCCGAACGGCTTTCAAACCGAACCATATCACTGGTTCACGACAGTAGTAGGTGGATGGTAATTACAAGTGGGGGCTTACTAGATGTTCTACCAGGAATTACGCAAATCGTAATATTTGCGGGTTTGATTTTTATTACACGATGCTATTCCTTCAACGTGGAAGTAATTCGTGCGTTGCGTTCGTTCGTTGATGTACAGTTTCAGTGTGCTTCGTGCGAGTTTTTTATAGCGTTTTTTTTTCTCTATCTATGCTGATATATTTTTTTTTTTTTATTGCCCTTGTGGGCAGACGCGCATACGGCCCACCTGATGGTGAGTGGTTACCGTCGCCCATGGACTTCAGCAATGCCAGGGGCAGAGCCAAGCCGCTGCCTACCGCTTAATACTCTCCACAAGCCTCGTTTGAAGAAGGATATGTCATAGCGCTCGGGAAACACCGTGGAGGGGAGCTCATTCCAAAGCCGGATGGTACGTGGCAAAAAAGACCTCTGGAAACGCACTGTGGATGACCGCAGTGGCTCCAGGTAGTATGGATGAACTCTACTCCGGTGGCGGGCGGTGCGATGGTAAAAACGAGATGCCGGTATCATCTCGAACAATTCCTCAGAGCACTCCCCATGGAACATACGGTACAAAATACAGAGGGAACCGAAGTCCCTCCGCAGACCCAGAGGTTCCAAACGATCCGTGAGACCGGGATTATCGACAATCCGAACGGCCCTTCTCTGTATGGAGTCAAATGGAAGAAGCTGGTATTTGGGAGCCCCGGCCCAGAGATGGGAGCAGTACTCCACGCGAGGCCGGACTTGTGCTTTATAAAGCAAAAGCCTTTGTCCAGGCGTGAAGTACCGCTTCGCTCTGTTGAGGACTCCCAGCATTTTGGACGCCAACTTGGCTTTGCCTTCCA